AAAACGGTTCCAGGTCAGTTCAGGTGAGTTACGGAGGGCAGCGTTTCAGAGAATTTCAGCAGTTCCAGGATTTCATCCAGCATCTCCAGATCTGGTCCCTTGAGATTTAGAGACCCCTGCCTTTTACAGCTATGGACTTGCAACTCTAGGTGCCTGTGCTGAGGCACAGACCTCTGAGTGAATCTGACTGCAAGCAAAAAGCCAACACCACCCCAACTGCAATCACAACATCCCTCAATCTTCTGATGAAGTGGGTTACTGTCTGCCAGAGTTTTTAATAAGTTTTTTTATAAATAGTGGAAAGCTTCACTTCATATACAGTATTTGCCTCCCTACTGATGAATGTAGGGTTATTCATCAAGTCTTACATAAAATAGCACACTTGCTGATGTTAAGATATGCGTAGAAGATAAATTTATTGATGCTCTAGAAAGAAAATGTGAGTTCAGTGCCATAGTGACTGTATTACTGGGAAACCCCTGAGGTTTTCTATCACCCTGTGGTTACAGGATAGGTCAGTTTTCACTATTAAGCTTACAATGTTAAGATGTTTATTCAAAAGTGTCTCTGCACGTGAAAGGTAGATTTCTGGGCCCACAGGAAAATTTCTGGGTTCCTTCTACTGGCCCAGGTATCTTTATGCCAGACATGTTCCTAATTCCTGGTGGGACCTGGATGGGAAAGGACTATCTGGAGGCTCTTCTGTATTACAGTAGGGACCATTCTCTCCCTCATTAGCCCTGAAATCTCAAATATTGAAAGGAGGAGCCATTGGTCTCCACTTAACGACATTCCCAGTTGTGCAACAAATCTTTTGAGAAGGGAGCATGCTGCATAGATCAAGGAAGAAAGTTGTGACTGTTCAACAGATTTACTGGAAAACAAGCGATTTTGAAAGGCTGAAGGAGGGCGAGCTGAGAAGCATTAGTAAATAGTACTTAATGAGGTACTCAGGTATGCCTTGCTCCCGCAGAAGTTGGATGTTTTGCCACTGATTTCAAGGAACAAATTAATAATTTTTAAACAAAAGGGAAACCTTAACTTCTTCTCATTAAAATTCGGGTGGTATGAGGTACAAACATTTGCTTGTCTGTTCACTTTTGGATGTAGTTCTTCTGAAGATGATAATACCATTTTTATGAGTAAAATGTTGCCCTTTGCACAATTTGACCCTTTCAAATATCTCTGCAAAATACAAGCTGTAAAATGAAAACTGTTTTTCCTTCCACATTCAGTGGGATTTTATAAGGTCTTTGTCTTGTGTTTAAAATGACAAGCCATTTTAAAAGAGCAGCATGTGGTGCAAAGTAATTGCCAACTTAATATTTCTTTAATATTTTTGGATACAGATGATAAAATATTTTAAAAGGAAAAAATACACCAGGAATAGTTCATATATTTCTTTTACCTAAAATTGAATTTTCAGTATGTGAAAAATTTCTGTAGCGGCTTCAATGATAATGTGAGAAATGGTGTATAACATTGTTATTTTTAAAACTCAGCAACTTTATTGCACTATTGTTGTTGTGAAACATTGAAAGTAGAAAAAGGATCCTCTTCATCCTCTTATTTGCAAATCACCGGATAAAAGTTAAAATCAAAGCACTTAGCATATGTAAGCGAGGTATAAATTTATTCCTCTTCGCTTTTTCCATAGCAATAGTTTGAATAAGATAAACTGGTAATGCTGGTTTTGTCCTGCCGCCCTAGTAGGGCTTGCTTAAGTTACCAAGTAAAATCAAACATTCCTAAGATACACACTTATCTTTATGTTCAAAGGCAGCTACTTCCCTTTGATTATTTGTAGCTGTATGACTTTCCCTTTGGAGGTAGCAGTGCATAGGAAACATCAGACAGTTTTAGTATCTTTAGCGAAAAGCTCCAAACCCACCTTCAGGCAGGCTCCGTACTGTCCTGCCGAGGCAGCTGGGGGAAAGGAACGTTCTGGCTTGCAGTACCCCCAGTTTCTCCCAGGCTCTGCATGTCAGTGCAATCTGCGGGATTCTGATTTTTTTTTTTTTTTAAATCAGACAATGTTTCTTTAAGTACAACGTGCTGCAGAATATTGAACTGGAATGTGTATGGTATGAACTGATGATTTCAGGCTATTGGTGTGTGTTTGTAGCCCATGCTGGAGTGTTTCTGTAGACCAAGCTGGACTGCAGTTTGTCTTGTAGGATCAGCCCTAAATGCCTAAACACACCTTCAGGAGCCAAATTTAAGGACCAGTTTGTAAATGTTGGATCAGTCTTGTATCTGTTTCTCAGCTCTACTTATGTTCCCTGCCACTGTCGGAACTAAAGTAAAGCTCTGAATCCAAATATTCCCAGCTTCGAGATATTTGCACATAGACTGGGATATCCTTCTGTCAGTAACATGCTGTCCTCTGGATGCACAGGGGAGTAGAGTAACTTCAGGCATTTGTTTTAAATATATTACCTTAGAAATAGACAGGAAGAAATTGCACAGGGAATACATTTTCCTTATTTAAGTTGAAAAATAAATATAGCTATAACCTAAATGTGTATTTAACAGCACTGACACCCTTTGGCCTTACTCCAGTGGACTTTTCTCACTGACACCAATGGGAAAAAGATGGGCTCTGTATAGGAAATCTGTGAATATTTTTTTCTTCCTCATCCATCCATCTATTTTGGGATGTGCTAAATGCTTGTTCTCTGTTGTAACATTAACATCAGTGTGTGGAAACTTGGGTTGCTAAAATAAATCCGTGAAATGCAATATACATGACTTCACATGGAACTGCATGTACATTGTTGAGCACAAGCGCCCCGTGTCCACTCTGCCGTGCCAGCTTTAGAGCCAGGTACACCCTATTGTGTCCCACAGCAGTGGGGTGCCGTGGTGAGGCAGGCATGAATTTTGTGCTGCCAGTATGTATAGAGGCTCTAGTTCCTGAGCTGGCAAAATATTTCTTGGTTGCCATTTACATGGCAGTAAAACCTGATACTTTAACCAGCCTCAGAGTATGGGGATGGCAAGGTCTATAGTATTTCACAAAAGCATCTTTTGATTTTTTGCATTATGGGCCTGATTGAGTGTTTGCTAGAGGCAATGAAAATTTTAAGGTTGATGTGCAAGGCATTGATTTGTGAGGCTCTAGCTTTTCTAAGTTAGTGATATTGGCTTCAAACTAACCTGGGGTGTTTTTCTGACCTTAGTAGAGACCGTCCTGATTCATGCTAGTATGAATTGGCACATTCTAAAGTTCACTTGATTTTTATTTTTAATGGAAAAATGAAAGGGCTAAGCTCAACCTTTATGGGCTGGACTGTTTTTTCTGCCCACAGTGAATCAATGGGAGACCTTGACAAAGTTGGACTTTGATGAAGGTGTTGAGGGGCCAGTCCTGCCTCAGAGTCCCCTGCGAGCCACAGGAGCCTGGCCTGCTCCGCAGAGTGGTCCTGTGCCTCAACACCAGTTTATCATCCACCTTGGCCACAAGCTCACGGATGAGGAGGAATCCCCATGGCTGCTACCTTCCCTGCCCCTCTGGCTTCGGATAAGACAGCAAGCTCGGAGCATGCCTCTGCCCCAGAAGGAAGGAGAAGCAAGTGTGTTGCTCTGCTCCACGCAAGGCCACTCCTGTCCTCTTCATGAAGCATTGATCTTCAAGGCCCCCATGACTAACAGAGTGGGAGACATTCCCATGGCATTAGCTGTTCCCTCTTTCTTTTTCCTGCTTAAGAGGTAAGAGCTGCACAAATTCCCTCTTTAATAGTCATCTAAGAGAGAATACAATGACTGATCTGTCATCAAAGTATTTAGAGCTGATGACAATATCTGTGTTGGGTTTTGGGGTGTTGGGGGCTTTTTTACTGTGTTTTTTAAATAAAAAGCCATAAATCACAGGGATATGACTAGAAATGGGTTGTTTCACATTAACTGTAGCTGTTGGTTATTCTTGTCCAAATGTACAGAAATGCCCTGGTGGTTACTTACCAATGACAACCTGCTCACGGCTTAACATTTTTCAGTTTCATGGCAGGCTTGTAAGGTTACACATATATAGTGAATGAAACATAGCCCACTCGTTATTTTTAGAGAGGCTCTAAACAAGAAGTAAATCCCTGGAGTAGTGCTGCCAGGGATGTGTAAAGTTCAAATCCAAATTAAAACTGCCTATCTTTGGCCTAAATTCCAACCTGAACTTGAGGAAAACTGTGATCTATACCTTGAACTTTATGACAAAAAAAATCCTTTGCAATTATTTTCTAATAACCGAGAATATATGAATGTGGTATAAAGACTTGAAAATTAGAACTTGAATGAAAATCTGAGCATTTGTCCAAGAATGTAGTACCTGGTCTTGTGAGAAACTGTTGTATGCCTTTAAGTTTCAGAAGCTGCACTGGAATTTGCAGAGTCTTAATTTGTTGTGATTCCTAGTTCTAACATATCTTTCTAAGATCCAGTCCTATAATGTAATTGTAAACTTTGAGGGGAGGAAGAGAAACGTGCTTATTTACCTTACAGATCTCTTTAATAACGACCTCTGAAGTGCAAGACTTGGTTTAGAAATCACCAAGGTACAACATGAAGAAAGTAAACCCCTTTTCAGCAATATATTTATGCAAAGTAGTTGAAAGTAGAGCAACTGAAGCATGTTCTTGATTTCTTTGCTGAATCAGAGCCTGTATCTTCTTCCTGCCAAGGCAGTGATCTTAATACCACTCCTAAATGCACTAGTAATTCTAGAAGCCCTAAAGAAAGTCAAGATAACACCACAGATTTTATAAATAAGGGTCTTTATTTAGAATACTGTTGAAAACATTCTTGGCAACCACATCGTATAAATATATAAAGTTTGACACAACAAACCAAGCAATATTAAATATTTTTAAATTTTTTCCCCTTTTTGTTTTTAATTTTTGCTTTTTTTTTTCTTTTTCCTTTCTTTTTGTCTTTTTTCCCTTTTTTTGCAAAGCAACTCTTATTTACAATTATACAAAAAGTTTTATAAAAAATGGTCCACAACCTTATTTTGGCCAGAACAGGAGTAATAGGAAGGATCTGTTATGCCACTACTGTTGTAGATTTCTATTCTCCTCTGCGTTCAAGAGCCAGGTTCCTATTCCCCAAAGCCCAGATTAAACATTGGCCATTTCATGGTATACAATTTCATCTCTAGACATATTAAATAACTTTAGTTTAACAACCAATAAATAACTAGGTGTATTTTGAAGTAATACAAGTTTGAAAAGTTATATATGTGAAGGAATTTTGAGTGATATTTTAAAACTGGAACAAGTCTTGAGAAGCCTTTTCAGTCTCAGAAGGCAGGACTCGGAGCTTGGCTGAACGAAGCAATTTGTTTTCAGTGCAGTCCAGCTGGACCTGCCTTTATAGCACTTGGTAGATGGGGTTGCTGCTGCTGCTGCTGCTGCTACTGTTATCCTGGGGAAGTGGGGTGCAGTTGGTGGGGGAAGGAATTTGGGCTCCACTATCATTCAGACTCGCTCCTTCTGCGGGGGAACAGGGACTCCCTTCAGCAACAGTTTCCACTGGAGGCAGTATAGGACAAGTGGAGTTATCTGTGGAAATCCTCTCTACAATGCTTGAGAGGCAATCGAGGCTGGAAACAACAGAACTTTTCCCATGCTTTGGATCTAAAACACAGACAAAAAGGTGATCAGTTTATCCAGTGGGTACTTAATGTCAGTTGGATGTAGTTCTTTCACAAAACCCCAGTGAGTGGCTGACAGTATGCATCTGTAAGCATGCAAAGATTCAGAGCAAATGCATGTTTGTGAAGGACGCCAATTATCAGAAAACAGAGATTGTAACTGCAAAATGGAAGAGAGACTGAACCAAAGTATGCTACTTTTGGGGCAGGGTGTATCCAGGGCTTCTCTTCAGTCCATAGAAAGGCAAGGGAAGATTTAAAATCAATTGACAGTTTCTCCAGTTTGGATCAATAATAGGTAGAGTTAGGAGAGTCTTCATGCAAAACATAGTTAAACACTGAAAATTAGTTGAAGAGAGGAATATATTTTTATCTGGATGTTATACTTGCAAAATAGGAAATGCAGCTATGACATACCCCCATATTTGCAAATACATCTAGAGGAAATCCAATGCTTCTATTAGTATCAACAGCTCGCTGGCTGAAAAGGCGGGTTCCTCTTTCAGCCCAGCTGGGGTCAGCTAATCAACTGGGGATGGAGAAGGCATGGGGAAGTTTGCTATATTGACTGCCTCTGTCTCCATGTTTCACACAGCTGTTAACGGCACATACTCACCATTTGGTGATTCTGTGTAGTAGCTGCTGTCATAGCTGTTTCTTCTGCGAGAGCTGCAAGGAGGCCCGCTGTACTCCATCTGGAAAGGAGAGCAATCTGAGTGCGGTCACTGTTTGGGGACAGCATTTACTGAAATCCCAGTAACCATCCAATTTTGTGTTTCAGTCCCTAGTCTGTACCATCATTCCAGTCCTGGCTGAAATTAGTTTCTTTGAATGAGGCAGAACTTAACTTGGCTAGAAGGGGATTCACCCCAGAATATTTTGTGGCACAGCTGTTCCGAAGGGAAATTACCATTGTTGTTGCATCGAATGCTGTAACTTTACAAATGAGATTAGGTTTTCCAGCATTCTGATCAGATACTGCCATACTGCCCTACACGTATCTTCAATTTAAAACAGGGAGACCAAGAGGGGAATGAATCTTTTTATGATTTAATTTTTGAAGGTTTTACCAAACCTAAGTTCCTCTTAAAAAGCCTCTAGTCTACCTTTGTCCCTTTTTATTTCCTTTAGTTTCTCTTCCCATTTGCATTTTGTATAGGAAAAGCCCCAAAACATTGACCACTGTATTTGTTTCCAATACTTTAATCCACAACAAAATCACTCTTTCTGATGAAAGAAAAAGGCTGTATTTTGAGGAGGGATCGTTTTGTGTAAATCTCTCCAATCTGCCAACTATCTCGTAATTGCAGATATTCAACTCAGTAATCATTATCCCCACCAGATCACAGGAAAAGAAATCTCAGGTCTTAAAGTGCTGTCAAGATCCCGTCCCAGACAGCTGTCCTGTGCTCCAGGCACCATGTCCCACCACCCCAAAGTCAGACTAGAGTCCGAGCCTACAGTCCCAGGGAAAAGATATGGCGGTAAGACACCCTCTCTGGCACCCAACCTTCTTCTCCCCTCCCCGTAACATACAAGCAGTACTGAAAGCCTGCGGTCTCCTTCCTATTGCTGGTAAATGTCTACAGAGGGGATGAAGTGAGAGGAGAAATGGAGAACCTTTTTCATAAGGGTCAAGAAAAACAACTCCTGTTGCTTAGACCCTTCTCCTGTTATCATATCGAATGGCACAAAACAAACCCCAGACTCTTTATGTTCCCTTTTAACTACCATGACTAAGGGGGAACCTTCCTCTCCGCTGTCCTTAGAGGATTTAAAGGTGGCGATACAGCAGAAGATGGAAACAGATGCCCCAGGCAGGGCTCAGACCTCACCGTGTCCCCAGGTACCCAACCCAGGCAGCTTCCCAAAGTGCTCCCCCCAGCAGCTCTCCCCTGGCTCCTCTGGGCCAAAGGGGGACCTGCCTAACTTCTTGTCCCAGGGACAAAAAGTGTGTAAGATTTTCCTTCTTTCCCAGAGATCCTGGCATGCGGGGACCCCACCTCCCTTTGCTGCTGGAGCTCAAGACATGAGAAAGGACTTTGTCTTCTGCCTGGGGAGGTACGGAAGGCAGCGGCTATAGGAAAAGCTGGAGGAGGCGACTGGCACCGCGTAGGTTTAGACCAGCAGTGTCTGGGGCGCCTTGGTGGCGGGGTGTCCTCCCTGGGGCACTCACCATGCCGTCGGAGCAGTTGGAGCGGGGACTGGAGGCATCCGATTCCCCACTGTAGTGCTCCAGCACCGGGTAGTAAGTGTCCTCCTGCTCCCGCAGCAACGCCTGCAGGCTCTCGATGTAGCGGATGGCATTGCGCAGGATCTCCACCTTGGGCAGGCGCTGGTTGGGGTTGGTGGAGGTGCAGCGCTTGAGGGTCTCAAAGGCCTCGTTGACCTTCGGTCGGCATTGGTGGTCTTCCTCTTGCAAGCCTTGCAGGCCCACAGCAGGCAGCGGCCGGCCTGGTGGTGCCCGCTGGGCGCCCGGACGTGCTCCTCCTCGTGCGGGTGCCCGTGGT